GGAAGCATGAGCCGCCTGTGATGTCCCATAGGAAGGTCATCCTTGGGGAACACGGTAAGAATAGCAGCGTATCAGGCGCCACCACACTTGGGAGTGGCCACAGGGCCATCTTCAGCCTTGAAGGCTTCCTGGGTCCCCCAGAGACCACGACACTGTCCTGCCTGGACAGCCATTGCTGACTTGTGATTGCCAGCCCCTGGGATGCTGAGAGGCACCCCATGGTGCCTCTCATGCTGGGAGCCTGATGGCCCATGGCTCTGCTGTGGCCGTAGGCAGCCAAAATGCAATAGAGAGTAACACAGAATCAAGGCGTAATCGCTGCATGGCTGCTGCCCACTGCTCTGTCAGGGGCTCAGGAACCAGCCCAACCCTGGCTCAGCCTGACCGGCTCTTGGTTCTGTCCCTCGTCCTGGGCCAGGCTTGGACAACTGCTGGGACCCTGCACAGTAGCTGGGCAGTGGTTCATGCCTGTAATCCTAGCACTTTGGAAGGCAGAGGCAAGAGAATTATCTGAGCCCAGGGACCGGAGATCAACCTAGGCAACCTGGTGAGACCTCGTCTCTATACTAAATCAAAACATTAGCCGGACATGGTGGCATGTACCTGTAGTTCTAGCTACTTGGAAGACTGAGATGGAGGATCGCCGAGCTCAGCAGCTCGAGTCTGTGGTGGCCATGAGCATGCCACTGCATTCTAGCCTGGGAGATGGAGTGAGACTCTGAATCAAAAAATTCAAAAAACAACAAAAAAAGTACATGGCAGCCACACTGTTTCCTTCTGCATGGCCTGTTCATCTTCCCTATTTTGCATAAATGTCTTCCTGTGGATTTGGGGCTAGGACACTCAGCCTATCACCTGCACTCCTACATTTTCCACCAGTTGTTGCCTCTTGAGAGTACAACTTCGAGGTTGGAAACACCTCCTCTCAATATGCTAGAACTTTTATCACGTTGCTGTTTGGATTTGGCTGTGTGCCCCATTGTTAATATGACTTGTGTGAGGTATGAGATATTAATTTTTCTCTCTCCTCAACAGCCAATTGTTAAAAAGTTAGTCCATTCTTCCCATCCTTCATTCATCATATAAAAATTTCTGTGCGCTCTACTTCTGACATCTCTGTTCAGTTCCCTGCATGTCTCAATCTATCCTAGCACTAGTTCCAGGATGCTCTAGTCACTTAGCTGTGAAATGTTTTAATAGTTGATAAGGAAGGCATTGCTTTATTTCTAAAAATTTCAGTTATATCTTATATATTTTAGCTATCTCTTCCCAATTAATTTTAGATTGTATTCTAAATCATTTAAAAACCTGCTGGCATTTTGATTGCAATTGCATTGAACTTCTGAATACTTAGAAGGAAACTATATATATATATATATATATATATATAATTTTTTTTTTTTAGTAGGAGTCTCACTCTGCTACCCAGGTTGGAGTGCAGTGGCATGGTCACAACCTCTGCAGCCTCAACCTGCTGTGTTCAGGTTTCCAAGTAGCTAGAACCACAGGCACATACCATGACAATGACACCCGGATAGTTTTTTTTATTTATTGTAGAGGCGAGGTCTCGCCAAGTTGTCCAGGCTAGTCTTCAACTCCTGGGATCAGGCAATCCTCTTTGTCTCCTCCCAAAGTACTGAGATTATAGGCATGAGCCATGGTACCCAGCTAGGAAACTATAATTTTAACTATTGCTTCACAGTAACACAATAAAATATGTCCACTTAGAATTTTATCATTTTCTTTTATAGGTCAGATATATTTCTAACATATTTCTATTGGATTAACTCCTAGGGTTTGCATAGGTATGTTTTGCTAGTGTGAGTGGAAAAAGTTTTGCTCTTATGTTGTCTTAGCATATACATGTTAAATATAATATATAATCTGTCATCATATATAATATACACATATTTAGTCTTCATTGTATAAAACCATATATTTAGCTTCTTTGCAAATTCTTAATTCTTTCAGTTTGTCGGTTGATTTTCTTTAGTTTTGTATGCAGATGAGCTCATCTTATCACAACTGAAAATGTAACTTTTTTTTCAGTCCTTATAACTCCCACTTGTATTTCTTTTTTCCCACTTGTATTCTAGTTTACACATTACTATAAACACCCAGAATGAGGTGACTAGAACTATAAGCATCTTTGATTGTCTGACTATCATGAGAATACTTCTAAGTAAACACATGGTATTGACTGAGGGTCTTAGGTAAATAGCTTTTATTTTATTTTATTTTTATAGCTTTTATTTTTATACCAATTCTTTCTATTTCCATTTTGTTGTGAGTTTTCATCTTCTAGAATCAAGAAGGAATGTTGGGGGATTCTGGAAAAATGATGGTGTCTGAGACTTTTTTTAGTCTCTCTAAATCTTGAATAGAAACAGACAGATTTACCAGATGGAAAAAATAATATCCCACTATTTCCATTTAGAACAAAATTAAATGACAAGACATCCCCTAAAGGCCCAAATGCAAGTGGGAAGAGACCAGAAGCTGTGGGCAGGGGGAGCTAAGGTCTGTGCAGGAGGACTCTGAGTAGAACACTAAGAGAGCGACGGCCTGGGGACAAAAACCCAGGACTCCTGGAAGTAGAGCCAGGGTGGGAACAGCCACTGGGCTGGGCAGGGTCTACCAGTCCATCAGCCACTGAACACAGGGCCTGCAGGAAGAAGGTCTCACAGGGCTGGAACACCCTGACTATTGTGGACTCTAGAAACAGACCCACCAGGACTGCCTTCTAGGGCAGAGTTCCAACTGGAAATGGAAAGAAAGATGAGCAAAACAGAGCATCCACTTCCAACTTCTATGGAGTCAGAGAGGCTGGATCAACCCTCTCATCGGGGTCACCTAAAACACTTAATAAGATCATGGAACACTGGTATTTAGATCTTGTGCCTGAGGCAGCACAGTACAGACTCCCTGGGAGAAGGATGAAAGCGTGGGATCTCACAGTTGTCCCCCTTCACTGCCTTGAGAAGAATACCAGGCCACAGTGCAGAAGGGGGAGCTTGAGTTACAGAGATGGATTTGGATGTTGGGAGAGGTCAGGGCAGCCAGGGTTCCTAGGACAGAGAACTGCAGAGGAAGAGCTGCACTGATAGCTCTCTCTGCACCCACAGAGCCTTTCCCTCACATATTCTGCTGAGCAGTGAACAGAAAATATGCAAGGGGCAGAGATTGGGGAGACCACTAAACATAAAATGAATAACCCCAGATCTAAAAGAACCAGCAGCAGGGCCTGCTTCCACCCGCCACTAGGGGAAATGCTAACCATTCTCCACACATCCAGTGCATACTTCATTAGGAGGGTAAAGTAAGTACTAGAGTAACCATTGGTCTAGTGCTGCCTAACAAAACTTATATGCAAAGCTCAAAAGAATAAACTTTCCTAGTAACTTAACTACACCCTAGAACAGAGCTCTAGAATATTAATAGGAATTCAAAATATCCAGTCCCCTACATGGTGTAATTCATAATGTTGGCTATCCACTCAAAAATTACTAGGCATACAAAGAGGAAGGAAAACCTAACACATGTTGAGGATAAAACCAACTGAAACCAACCCAGAATGTCATAGACAATAAGCAAGGACATTGGAAAGTCACAACTTTGTTCCATATGTTCAAGAAGTTAGAGAAAGATCAACTGTATTGAGTTACGATGAGGAAAATCGTTTAAATAAAATCACAAATAACCTCTAGAGAGGAAAACTATGATGTCTGGGGTGGAAATAACACTGGATGAGTTAACAGCAGAAAAACCACTGCAGAAGAAAAATGAAGTGAACTTGAAGACATAGCAATAGAAACTCTCTAATATGAAACACAGAGAAGAAAAAAAAACCAAGCAATGCATTAGAGAGCTGTGGGATACTTCAAGTAAGATCATGTATGTGTAATTGGAGTCCCCACAGAAGAGAGAAAAAGAGGAACAGAAAGGAGACTGTCAGACTGGATAAATGGCTAATCCCAATTATGCTTCCCACAAGACATGCACTTTAAATATAATGACATGAATAGGTTAAAATTTTATATAAAAAAGACTAAATTAAGCCCAGAGCAGGTATAAAGTATGAAATAATAAAGATGAAACAAAAACCAGTTAAGTGAAAAATAGTAAAGCAATGTGATAATCAAGAAGCCAAATCTTTGAAAAGATAAATCTGGTTAACACCTAGCTAAACTCACTGGGAAAAGATAAACACACAAATCATTAATATTAGAAATGGAAGAAAAGGCACTGCCTCATATTGCCCCATCTTTGGTCAAATGTCAAATATGAAGACCCATATGTTCCTTCAGCTCTGGGACATGCTCTCCTATTTCTCCCTTCTGTTGCTCTATTTCTGGAATCCTTTGGAAGAACCTCGAATGTTTCTCAAGAATCATGTTTCTCTTCTGTTTTCTTTCACATATTCCATCTCTGTCATTCTGTGTTGTATGTGACACACTTCTTTGTCAACCATCCCACCAGTTTCTTCTCTCTCTAGCTGTTCTATCCAACCTCCACCCTTCCTTTCATCTGGAGTGTCTCTTTAGCTGGTGAGCAACTTTCATAAGGTGGAGCCTCACTCCATCAGAACTTCAGCTTCGTGTTGTCCAGGCACAGAGAGGGAATTCAGGTCCCCTCACCTGAACATGACAGAGAGAGTACAGCAGACAGGCTGTGGCTAGAAGATGGGTGTTCCCTGAGATGTTTGCTTAGGGGTCAGGGCATCAACCCAGTCCTCAACCCTAACCATGCATTTTACAGGCTCAGTAAACACTTACGTAAACAGACCAGAATTAATAAGGGCTCCTGGGATCCAGTTCAAAACATAAACAAGGAAAGGGGAAGCTTGTGGAGCCTCTGGCTAGAACAATACATACCTGGGCCAGGTATAAAAGCCCGACTGCCCAGAGCACCTCGCACCCTCACTCTCTCACTCACACCTTCATTCCCTAACTCACTCTGTCCCTCACTCACTCATAACCTCTCCCAGCTCAACCCTCAGCATGGCCGCATCCACCATGTCCGTCTGCTCCAGCAACCTGAGCTATGGCAGCCGGGTCTGCCTGCCCGGGTCCTGTGACTCTGGCTCCGAGTCCTGGCAGGCAGACGACTGTCCAGAGAGCTGCTGCGAGCCCCCCTGCTGTGCCCCAAGCTGCTGCGCCCCAGCCCCCTGCCTGAGCCTGATCTGCACCCCAGTGAGCTGTGTGTCCAGCCCCTGCCAGTCAGCCTGCACCAGTTCCTGCACTCCATCATGCCGCCAGCAGGCTAGCTGCCAGCCAGCTTGCTGTGTGCCTGTCTGCTGCAAGCTAGTTTGCTGCAAGCCAGTCTGCTCTGGGGCGTCTTCTTCCTGCTGCCAGCAGTCTAGCTGCCAGCCTTCTTGCTGCACCTCCTCTCCTTGCCAGCAGTCCTGCTGCATGCCCTTCTGCTGCAAGCCCATCTGCTGTGTGCCCACCTGCTCTGGGGCTTCCTCTTCATGCTGCCAGCAGTCTAGCTGCCAACCTTCTTGCTGCATCTCCTCCCCCTGCCAGCAGCCTTGCAGCGTGCCCATCTGCTGCAAGCCCATCTGCTGTGTGCCCACCTGCTCTGGGGCTTCCTCTTCATGCTGCCAGCAGTCTAGCTGCCAGCCGACTTGCTGCCCCTCCTCCTGCTGCAGACCTTCCTCCTGCGTGTCCCTCCTCTGCCGCCCTGTGTGCAGACCCGCCTGCTGCATGCCCGTCCCCTCCTGCTGTGCCCCCGCCTCCTCCTGCCAACCCAGCTGCTGCCGCCCGGCCTCCTGCATGTCCCTCCTCTGCCGCCCCGTGTGCTCCCGCCCAGCCTGCTGCAGCCTTTCCTCAGGACAGACATGTTGACAGGCACACCCCCTGGAGCCAACTGGGCTCAGGTCCTGACCTGGGATAAGTGCTGACCCCATCCAGATTGATCCCCATGTCTCCACCATGCTGACGTGACCTCCCTTCCTTGCTCCTGCGAGGACCTATCCTTCCTCCCCCTAGCTCTTTCCTTCCAGAAGGTGCCTATCTGCCTTTGGTCACCTTCTATTTCCTAAGCCCTCTGCTCTGGATTACCTAGCTTTGACATCCGGTGACCTGCGAGCCCCTCCCTGGGTTCCCCAATAAAATCATTTGCTCCCTGATTCTCTCTGCCTTTGTGTTCAAGGGATACCCGCAGTTTAGAATAGACAATATGGTCCTCTCCAGTCACACATACGTCTAGGAGTGAGTGGCTCCACCTGGAAATCACAGAGGTGGTGGCCTCACTCCTTGGGGTGGTTTACCAGGTGGGACTCATGGCCATGCTCAGGAGGGCTGAGTTCCTGCCCAGCCCTGGTGCCCTGGGTTTCCTGAACCTGGTATCCCTAGTCGTGCCCTGGTCTGTGGGGCTCTCCAGGACCCCGACCTATTCCCATGAGGGAAGGCTTGATTCCTACTGGGCCCTGGGTCCTAGATGTGAACATGCTTGGGGAGGATTCTACTGGTTGTGGAGTCAGCGCTTCCTCCGCAACCTCCCCTGTGCCTACCCTGGCAGGGCTCCCTAATGTCCCAGCCTTACCTCTGCCCACCCAAGTGGGGCTCCCTAATGCCCTCAATTGTCACTGGGAGAATTTTTCCTCTTCCTTGTCATGCGCTGACATCCAAGCATCACACACTCCCTGAAAGTCCCCATGTGGAAATGTTCCCTTTCATGGAAGGTCAGTTCAAGTGACCACCTCCTGCCATAGAAAGCAAGGGAGATGAGTTGTGCCTTCTGCTTCCAGAATGGCCAAGGGTATGAGACCCAACCTAAGACTTGGGGATTTTGCTGAATTGGAGGTTAAATTAAATATGTAGACCATAGGAGGCTTCTAACTTCTTTACAAAAATAGTCACATAGAATGGGTCTTATAATTTTACATGGGCAGATTTGCTAAACATATATATTGCCATGTGTTGCTTAATAATGGGGATATGTTCTAAGAAATGCATCGTTAGGCAATTTCATTGTGGGAACATGAGTGTCCTTACACACACCTGGGCATTATGGTGTAGCCCGCTGCTCCTAGGCAAAACACCTATGCAGCATGTGATTGTACTGAATACTGCAGGCAGTTATGACACAATGTAAGTATTTGTTTCTCTGAACATAGAAAAGGTATAGTAAAAATATGGCATTACAAACTGATGGGACCACCATTTTATATGTGGCCTATTGTTGACTGAAGTGTCATTAGGAGGTGAATGACTGTATACACTCCAGAAACATTTGTATGTTTGCTCTACCTTTCAGGTTAAATCACATTCAATTTTTTACTCTTAATTGTGTTTGGCTAGGAATCTATGCACTCTAATTTGCAAACAAGTAAATTGTCAAGTATACATTGTTTTTATATAACCTGAGTTGGAAAGGAAGGCACAGAGTTTTGAGGTTTCAGTGGACATTGAATTTATATTTGTTTTTTCTTTAATTGTGGTGAAATATACATAATATAAAGTTTGCCATCCAAACCATTTTTAGGTGTTCAGTTCAGCGGCATTAAGAAGTCAGTTATACAACCATCACTGGTATCTGTGTCCAGATGGTCCCATTTTCCCAAGCCGAAACTGTCCCCATTAAACACTAACTCATCTTTCCCCCCACCCCAGCCCCTGGTACCCACCATTCTGCTTCTGCTTCTATGGATTTGATTACTCTAGGGATCTCATATAAGTGGAATTATACAGTATTTGTCCTGTGAGAGGTTTCTTTCATTTAGTATTAAGTCCTCAGTGTTCATCCATGTTGTAGTGCATGTCAGAATTTCTTTCCTGTTGATGACTGAATAATATTCCAGGGGAGCCGTAGAAAAAGAAAAAAATACTTCATTGTATGGATGGACTACATTTTATTTATTCATTCATGCATTAGTGGACATTTGGGTTGCTTCTACCCTTTGACTATTGTGAATAAAGCTGCCATGCGCATGGTGTACAAATATTTCTTTCAATTCTTTTGAAAATAGACCTAGAAGTGGAATTGCTGGATCATTAATTTTTTAATGAACTACCATTCTGTTTTCAGGCAGCTGTATAATTTTACATTTCTACCAATAGTGCACAAGGGTTCAAGTTTCTCCAGATCCCCGCCAACACATGTTACTTTCTGTTTTGGGATACTGGTCATCCTGATGCATGTGGGGGTGCCTTTGGTTTTATCAGATCAGCAACTGGGATTAAGCCAGTCCTACTGCAGGGAGATAGCCCAGACCTTTGCCTGTCAGACCCATCCCCAGTCAGCCCTGCCCCCTCACATCAGCCTTACCCACTACAATCAGCCACCTCCGGTCAGCCCCACCCTCAATCAGCCCTTCCCCCTAACATTAACCTCACTCTACCCCCCCCAATCAGCCCTGCATCCTCATATCAGCCATTCTCTTCCCTCCCCTCCCCTGTCAGCCAGATTCCTCCCATCTGCCCCACCCCTCCCCATCAGTTCTGCCCCTTGTCAGCCCCGCCCCTCTCCACCATCCCCACCTTTTTCAGCCCCACCCCACCTGTCAGCCCCTCCTTTCCCATCAACCCCTGCCCTCCGTTATTCACTTCCCTCCACCCCTCTATGAGACCTAACCCCTCCTCTTCATCAACCTCAGCCCTCCGTCAGCCCTTGCTTCCACCTTCCATCAGCCCCGCCCCACCCCCATTAGCCCCATCCCATTTGTCACAGCTCCGTCCCTCGCCCCGCCCTCGGCTCTCTCCGCAGAAGAACGAGTACCTGCTCACGGTGGTGGCAGAGGAGAGCGACTCGCTGCTGCTGGGCCTGCGGTACTCGCCCACCCAGCTACATTTCCTGTTCCTCCACGAGGACGCAGCCGGCGCCTGGCAGACCCGCGTGTCCTTCCGCAATCCTGCTTTGATGGACAACCAGTGGCACACTCTGGTCCTGGCCGTGTCCACAGGCTTCTTTTCCCTCACTACGGACTGCGGGCTCCCAGTGGACATGTGGGTACCTGATGCCAGGAGAGAGGTCCGGAGGGGGGGCTGTGGCTGTGCCTGCCCGAGGGAGGGGTTGCAGGTGCTGTACCCGAGCCTGCCCAGGAAAGGGTCATGGGTGCTGTGCCTGTGCCTGGGGGGGGGGGGGGGTGCTGTGCCTGTGCCTCCCTAGGAATGGGTGGGGGGTGGTGATGCCTGCCCAGCCCTTTGAAGCAGCACCCGCTGTACCTTGCATTATGCAGTAAGTAGTGCCCCTGGGCCAGGTGGGTCAGGTGGGGTCATCACCCAGTCAGGCTTACAGAGTAGCCCATAGGAGCTGTCCACAGGGGCAGGTCATTGCCAAGAGATCAAAGGCAGGGTCAGACACCAGCCTGTCCTCTGAAAGCCTCCCATGGGGAGGGGGTGAGGGCCACGGTCCGGGCTGCCAAGGCAGATCACCCACCAGTCTGAGAGCTGGATGGACAGTGGAAAGAAGACGGTGAGTAATGCCCTCTGGACTCAGGCTGAAAGGGGGTGTCCAGGCAGATGAGTAATAGCATCCTCATGCCCAACACTTGTGAACACATGCTACATAGCATACTCCAGATGTTACCATTTCTCCTTACCTTAAATGACATCAGAGGATCAGTGGCTTAAAACCTGGTAAAGATGATCACAATAAGCAGCTCTCCTGATTCCTAGAAATAGCCCAGGGGATGTGGCCGGGGGGCTCTACAGTGCCCTTCAGATGCCAAAAGGAAGCTACAGGAATCCCAAGGCACTCAGGCAGGTGCCAACCAGCGGCAGGAGGGCCGGGCCTTGCTGCCTGACTGAAATGGGAGAGTAAATATGCACAAAAACTCCAAATGAGCATGCAAAATTACCCTTGGTAGTTTTGGATGCAGCCGGGGACTTTTGGAAACCTGAGTTTATCTTTGCCGTAGCCTGGTTTCTATGGCCTGACAGTGAGTCCTCACAACACTGCCAGGTGGTGGTTACCCATGCCAGCCCTCAAGATCGATCCTTGCGGAGTGGGACTGCAATTCCTTCTTTTTAATCACAGATGAACCTGTTTAACTCAGTCCATTATACTCCAAATTTAACTTTCAATGATAGAATCCTGTTTTGTTATGAAACTTATTTCACAATAAAAAATAATCCTCAACCTTTATATTCTTAGTTCAACACCCTGGATCACAATCCTTCTCCCACAGCACCCCCAAATTCATTAGGCCCTTACAAGGGTGATGAACTCTGAGGTCGCCAAGAGCCGGGAGCCTCTTGAGTAGCAGGCTAAAAGGAATCAGAAATAGCAGCTGCTTCCACCAGCAGGAAGGAAGCCAGTCTGACTGGACATGAATCCCCTGACATCTGAGTTAGCCAGAACCCCTAGGGATGGCAGGTAAAGCCTTCACTTGACTCATGGGCAGAAAGGAAGAATGAGCAGGTGCCCTCATGAGGAGTGTTCCTTCAAATGGTTTTAGGAATGGGCTTCCTGGAGAAGACTGGGACATAAGGCCTTCCGAGGTGGGATTCCATTGCACTTATTTCTCCAGGAGGAGCAGCCGCAGGGAACAGGGTTTGAGACCCACAGGCTGAGGCTGGGCTGTGGCTTCTGTCCACAGCTACCAATCCTGCTGGGTCAGCCCGTGCCTACGTCCTCAGCACGCTCTGCCCCTCCTGGCTAGTTAGTCAGAATCGAAACTCCAGCACTGCCCCAGGCTCCCTGGAGATACGTCTCCTGATGGCTGCCAGGCAAGGACAGACAACTCTGTGACATAGGAGGTTGCAGGAGTTGGGCCCAAGGAAGGCCAGGGGCCGCAGGGCTGGAGCCAATTTTGATCATGGAAGAATTTAGGCCCTCAGATCTCATGGGCCCTACAGGCCACCACGGAGAGTGCAGGCCAGGTTCAGGGCCAGAAGGCCAGGAGCCTCACGGAATCTGAGCTGTGTGCAGAGGATGGGGCCTCTGAGAGAGGAGCTGCAGCCGATGGCAGAGTGGAAGGAACAAGAGGCACCTAGGGAGCACCCCCTGCTCTGCCTCCAGGTTTTGCCTCCACCCACCCATCAAGATTCACTCCTCCTGACACCATCGTGGGGCACCAGCAAGGCACCTCTCTCCTGCCCTGAAGCCATCTGTCTCAGACCTCAGTGGAGGCTGGGTGAGCTGGCAGACCCCGCGTAGGTAGAAGCCACTACAGTGTCACCATGTGATACAGAAGAATCTCTAAGCATCTCCTCACCATGCAGAAAACTCTGGTTCTGGGGTGAAGTGCCCCCATAATTCATGTCCACCTAGTACCTGAGAAAGTGACCTCACTTGGAAACAGGGTCTTTGTAAATATTATCAAGTCGAGATGAGCCATGCCGGAGCAAGCAGGGCTTGGCTCCAGTGAGACCATGGACACACGGGAGAAGCCACGTGAAGAGACAGGAGGGATGCAGCCAGACACCTGAACCTGCCAGGAGCTGGAAGAGGCAAGAAATCTCCCTCCCCAGAGCCTTTGGAGAAAGTGTGGCCCTGCCAACACTTCACTTGCAGATGTCTGGCTTCCAGACTGTGAGAGACTCCTCTTCTGCTATATAAGCTGCTGATTTGTGGTCCTTTGTTATGGAAGCTCTGGGACACTAGAGCCCTCCTCATGTGGGCTGGCTCCCTTCTGTATATAAACAGGGTATGGCGTTGCTCTCCTATGGCCCTGACACTGTTCTCTGATGCTTTCAGAATGGCTGATGTGCCCTTTCCGGCCACCCTCTCGGTGGGAGGAGCTCGGTTCTTCATTGGCAGCCGAAGAAGAAACAAAGGCCTATTCACGGTGCGTGTCGAGGGTTTTCCCTTTTAACACTGGCACTTGAAGGGCAGGGGGCTGTCCTCAGGTTAGCTATCCTAATGCTTCTGTTGAACAGATTCTCATATGTGCTACAGGTCTCTACCACAGAGCCTTGGCACTTGGTGTTTCTACCTTCTGGAACCTGTTCCCTAGCACCCTTGGGCCCCTGCTCAAGTGTCCTCACCATAGAGGTCTGTCCCCACCACTCTGATGAGATCATGCCCACATCCAGCCCTGCAGCCCCTTCTCATATGTTGTCTTTTCTCAGACTAGCTCTGTGTCTGTTCAGTCTCTGTCTCTCCAGTAGCATGTGAGTAGAGGACTTCATTCCATGAAGGTAGGGACTGTTGCTCCCTACTGTGTCCACAGTGTCTAGAACCATGCCTGACATGCATAGGTGCTCTGTGACTATTTCTTAATTCATGCTAGGACAGACAGATGGACAGAGGGACAGATGGAGGAATAAATGACAGACAGGGAAGAATGGATGGGTGTGTGGGTGGGTGGAGGGGTGGATGGTAGAGTGATGGATAAATGAATGGAGGGATGAATGGAAAGAAAGATGGATGAATAGATAGTGAATAAGTGGATGGTCAGATGTATAGATGACGGATGGGTGGACAGATGAGTGGGTAGATGGATGGATGGGTGATGGATGGATGGATGGTTGATGGATGGATGGATGGAGGGATGAGTGGATGGATAGATGAATTAGTGGGTAATTGGAGGATGGATGGAGGGATGATGGATGAATGGAATGGACAGATAAGTGAATGGATGGATGGATGGATAGATGGATAGATGGACAGATGGATAGATGGATGGGTTAGCAATGGATGGACAGATGGGCAGATAAATGGATGAGTGCTGGATGGACGGATGGATGGATGATGCATGAATGGATGGAGGGAGGGGTGGATGGACAGATGAATGAGTGAGTAATTGGAGGGATGGATAGAGGACTGAGGGATTAATGGAATGGATGGATGAATGGATAGATAGATGGATAGATAGATGGATGGATAGATAGATGGATGGATAGATGATAAATGGGCAAATGGATAGATGAGTGATGGATGGACGAATGGATGCATGATGGATAGATGAATGGACAGATGGATAGATGAGCAATGGATGGACAGATGGACAAATAGATGGACAGATGAATGAATGAATGGACAGATGGGTAAATGGGCAATGAATAGACAGATGCCTTGATGAAGAGATAGAGGAATGGATGAGCAATGGATGGATAGATGAGCACTGGATGAACAGATGAATAGATGGATGAACATACAGATGGATGTGTGAAGGATGGACACTTGTATAGATGGATGGATAGAGGGTTGGAAGTGTGATAGATGAATGGATGGAGGGATGGATGATGGATGGATGAGCAATGTAGCCTGTCACTCAAAGTCCACACAGAAAACCTCGCCCATGGTTTAATCACCTTGGAAATTGTATAGTTCTCCACCATTGCCTCCAGTGACTCCCCATGACCATCATGTAGACTCTTCTCTCTTAGCTCTGCAGAAAGTTAGACTCCATCCACCCCAGGCTCCCTCCAGGGTCTGGACAGGCCAAGCCCGGTGGTCCTGCCCTCCTCCAGCAATGCAAGCCTGGAGAAACTGTCCCTCTCTCTGCAGGGCCTGGTAAGGCAGCTGGTCCTGCTCCCAGGTGCGGATGCCACCCCCAGGCTATGTCCCAACAAGAATGCCCCGCTGGCTGTGCTGTCCATCCCACGGATCCTGCAGACTCTCACGGGGAAGCCAGAAGATAACGAGGTGCTAACATATCCCTATGGTTAGTAGTGAGGCCACCCACTCCCACACCAAGGGCGGATGCCAAGAACTTTGGTCTGGCACTGGGCAGGAACCCAGAGCTCACTTCCCAACCTTTCCATGCTCTTGTTCCTCTCACCACCACAACAACAGGGGCAGTTATCAAATTGGCCAAGAGGACACTCAGGGCCCAACCCAGGAAGGCAGGTGGTGCCATCAGACAGAGCAGCGTTGCCCACCTTCCCTCCAGGCACTCCCACAGAGGCCGTCCAGCCCCTTCTTGGGGAACCCCAGGCAGACTGCAGGGATGCTTGTCTTTAGAAAGTCTCTCCAGAGCCTTCTGACATCCACCTGCTGCTACACTTCACCTCCCAGGTCAGGGTGTAGGGCCATTTCTCCCCATGCCTCTCTTCCACAGTTATCCAGACCAGCCAGCCCCATCAGCTGACTCTGGACATGCACTTCCGTTTTCTGTGACCCACCCCTCCCCTCAAGCCCAGGGCTTCTTTCGGTGTCAAGTTATGAGGCTGATTGTGTTTATTAAATCACACCCCTGTGGGGAGAATCTGAAGTGCCACCATCACATCTACCCCTCCCACCACCACTCTACTGCCCTGAAGGAAGATGGGGTGAGTGGGGACTGCCGAGCTGTCTGAGCCTCGTGGTTCTGGTTACAAGTCAGGGGAACCCCACCTTGGTCACATCTGGCTTCCAATTTGTTCTGTCACAAGGCTGGGCAGCACAGGTTGATCATACTTAAACAGCCTTTGGAAAGTTGAGAAGCAGCAGAATTGAGGACCCAAGATGGGGTGAGATTACTAGATATGATGGCATCAAAGTGCTACAGAATCAAGCAGAGTCACAGTCAAGGGGAATCAGTATCGTGAGGACTGAGTACTGAGAACAGGACAAGTGATGATCACTAAAGACTCCCATGAGAGCTGCAGACCAAAGGCACAGAAAGCCTCACCTTTGGGGTGGAAAGCGGGCAGGGCCAGCTGACTGTATAAGGGCTTCACAATGTCCTGCTGTGCCCGCAGGCCAGGGTCTCCCTTCACCGCTCGGGACGTGGCAGGGCTGTGCCCAGACACCTGCGGGCTCCCTTCCAGCCCCACATGCAAAGTCAACACAGGACAGCCAGGCTCGGCGGCGTCCTCCTGACCCGCTGGACACTCGTCTTCCTGATCTTCCCCTCAGAAACCAACATGAGAGTGACTCTGGGACCCCAGCCACCGTGTACTAAGGTGGAGGATGCGCAGTTCTGGTTTGATGCCGGCCGGAAGGGGCTGTACCTGTGCGTGGGCAGCAAGTGGGTCTCTGTGTTGGCAGGTGAGGTGGGGCCCGGGGACCCAGGACATTGGCATCCCTGATGCTCGAGCGTGCAGGGGCAGCTCTGACACTAGCGGAGGGGTTGCCACGAAAACTGAATGGCCTCGGCCATCTCCTAATGACCACAGGCTTAGTCAGCCAGGCTGGGGCACTTGAGAGTGAAAGGAACTGTCAGGTCAGGCACGGTGGCTTATGCCTCTAAACTCAGCACTTTGGGAGGCTGAAGCAGGAGGATTGCATGAGCCCAGGAGTTTGAGACCAGCTTGGGCAACATAGTAAGACTTCAGTTCTACAAAAATAAGAATAAAAATTAGCCCGGTGTGGTGGCACAGACCTGTAGTCCCAGCTAGTCAGGAGGGATCACCTGAGCCCAAGAGGTTGAGGTTGCAGTGAGCCATGATCAAGCCACTATACTCCAGACAGTCTGGGTAACAGAATGAGACCCTGATTCAAACAATACAAAACAAAAAGGCACCATTAGTCCTGACCCATGGAAAGCATGCAACAGCCGGGACGGCCAGCAAGTTGGGATGCTATCCTCCCTGGGCCACATGCGCCCCAGTCATGGTGGGCTCTACTCAGAGCCGTGCCGCTCAGGATAGGAGACTGTCCCACTTTGGAGGTGGGAACCTGTGCATTTAATTTGGAAACATGCACCCTGCTAAGCACAACCCAAGGGCTGGCAGGGCTGGCATCTCTCAGCATCTCTTCCTAAACTAGGGAAAAGAATGGGGGCCTCCCTGTGGTCCTTCTCTGTGGGCTTTGCCCACACCCTCCCTGGCCACTAGATTGGAGATGAGATCCAAAGGGTGCCAGCACCTAAGAGTGTTATTTTTGGCAGCAAGCCCTTTCAGCGGTCTGTTCTAGTTTGTGGGACGGGTTTGTGGAGGTTGCTGGAGACGCTCCAGACTGGTTTTCCTCAGGAAACAGGGACTGTTTTCACATGGGACATGCATGAGCCATTGACTATACTTTCTATTTCACTTTATTGAGGGCTCAATTTGCTATAGAGGTAGGACGCCTTGGGAGTATCTTTTTTTTTTTAAGTCTGGTTCTTACTCTGTTGCTCAGGCTGGAGTGCAGTGGCACAATCATGGCTCACCGCAGCCTCGACCACCTGGGCTCAGGTGGTCCTTTCACCTCAGCCTCCCAAAGTAGTTGGGACTACAAGTACACATCACCTTGCCCGGCTAGTTTAAAAAAAAATTTTTTTTTGTACAGATGGGGTCTTGCTATATTGCCCAGGCTGGTCTCAAACTCCTGGGCTCAGGCGATCTTCCCACCTTGGCCTCCAAAAGTGCTGAGATTACAGGCGTGAGCCACTGCTCCTGGGCTTGGAATATCCTAATAAAGTCACAAAGCATACATTTCATTCTGTTAGTGTCATGGAGGCTGTACCGATCTACCATGAAGCCCCTGACAGAAATGAGTGGCCTCCCTCAGGCAGACCTTTCCTATGAGGGTAACATGGGACTCCAGGGCAAATCACCTTGTGAAAACCGACACCTGGGACTGAGGCTTCAGAGTCCTGACTCAGGGTCATGGGATCGTGCTCCTAAAAGGATCACCCTGGGCTTCTGCCCTTGGAAATGTTAACTGAACCACCATATTTCTATCACAAGCCAAGGAAAGACTGGACTACGTGGAGGAGCATCAGAACCTGTTCACCAACGCAGAGACCTTGGGCATCGAGGTGTTCCGCATCCCCCAGGTTGGGCTCTTTGTGGCAATGGCCAATCGCAAAACCACATCCACCATCTACAAGTGGACGGACGGAAAGTTCGTGTCGTATCAGAACATCCGCACACACCAGGCACAGGCCTGGAGACACTTCACCATTGAGAAGAAGGCAAGTCTGAGCTCAGAGACTTTCTCCATACTTCTGAACTTGGGGAAACCCACAGAGCCCAAAGACTGGGCTCTTGTATAGATCCCACAGGTACAGGTGTTTCTCACGGGATCAGAGCCATATTTGGGTTGTCAGAGGCTCTCGCAGTCATACACATTAGGCTACAACTCTAAATCCAGAATGTGACTTGGAGAAAGTCCGTTTGGCTTCCCATAAAACAGAAGACGAGCTCATAACTGAGATGCTATCCAGTTTTCTGTAGATCCTTCATTTCTAGATTTTAAACCTGATAAGAGCATTTTACTTGAGCCAGTCAACACTGCAAAAAACATTTCAAAATGAAAATAAAAGATCAATATTCCTGGTCAGTCCTTTTATCAGTTCACAAACGTTGAGGACACATGATGTGCACGTGGATGTCCAGGGCTGGACCCAAGGGAGTTGTGGCTGTGAGACCATGCAGGCAGGCAGCCCCCTTCTCTTCAGGGCTGGACTGAGCAGAGGGCTGTGGGTGACCTCCATGGGAAAGATGGAATTTCCTCTCCCCGGCTCCTCCCATACCCTGGTATTCACAGCTATATCCTGGAGACGGCACCTCATGACTGTCCCATGCAGTCACTCACCTGACACAGGCTTGCCAGGCACAGCCAGGCCCCCACCTGGATACTGGGGCTAGAGCAGTGAGCACACCAACCTCTGCTCTCCTGCCACTGTAGGTCCTCAGATCCACAGAGCCACTGGCCACAGCCCTGAGCCGTGACTTCCTGAGTGGTCTCAGCAGCATCCACATTTAGTGTGGGTAATGAATAGTAGCTCTTTTTTCTTTATTGATGACATTTTAAAGTTTTTTTATTATTATAAAAATGATAACTTTATATCAAAGAACTGAGAAATTCAGAAAAGCAAGGGGGGTAAATATGATGTCCCTTCACCCAGGCAGATACATGGATTCATTGACATTCCTGTGCTGTGCTCATCGTCTGTGAGCCAGACGCCCTGCTGCCTGGCCTGGCCTACTCACACAGCTGCGCATGGCCCTGGTCACCTCACGTTGCATCGCAACAGTGTCTCTGTGATTTACTCACATCAACACCACACCTTTAGTGACGATGTACATCCTCACTGTGGGAGAGCAGGTCATTAGGATTTTTTCCCTGCTCATCCAGATTATGAAGAACATTGTGCATAAAGCTTGTCCTCAGTTGGGGAGTTTTGTTGCCTTCAGTTAGAGAAGTGGAAAAATGAGTTAAAGAATGTGGACGTTTTTAAGGGTCTTAATGAAGGCCATGATCAGATCTGGAGAGCCAGCCGCCAGTTCCCGCCCCCCACAGCCACAGTCAATAGGGGGTGTGGGCTCAGCCTCCTCCCTGTGCTGTGTAGCTGGAACGAGGATGTGGAGAGGTTTGCTGGTATTCTGAAACCATTAAAGACCCCAGCCCCGACTCAGGAAGGATCAAATTATCCTTGTCCCTTTCTTTCAGATCTTCCTTGTTGTGGCCAATTTTGAACCCAATGAAAAGGGCCAGGAGTTCTCAGTCATCTACAAGTGGAGCCACAGGAAGCTGAAGTTCACCCCATACCAGAGGATTGCTACCCACAGCGCCCGGGATTGGGAGGCCTTCGTGGTGAATGGGGAGCACTTCCTGGCGGTAGCCAACCACCGGGAAGGTAGGGCAGGTGTGGCCTCTGACCCAGAAGAAAACCATTCCTGGGGTGGAGCAGGACTGACAAGTAGGGGGAATGTGTCTCTCATTAAAAAATGATAAGTCACACCCACCCCATTTGCTGGGGCTCAGCAGACAGTTGTGTCTAAGGGTGAGTACACACGAGCACTGGCTGATCACCTCCTGGCTGTCCAGGTAGGAATGTGGACAGATAGCTCCACGTAGTGCCTGCCCACAGCGGAGCCACTCTGGAAGCACAGACTCTGCTCACTGGCTTCCCTCCTCATTTGAGACTAACTTACTTACCGACCAACTAACCAACCTCCCTGTGGGGGGAGTCTGGCTCCCACAGTGAAGTCAGATTTAGAAGCCGTAGTTCCAATTCTTCCATCCTGTCACTCCAGGGACAGGCCTGGGTCCTGCAGGGCCCCTCTGATTCAGCCTTCCTGGGCTCCACAACTGTGCACTCACCCAAGTCTATGAGCCACCACGCAGGACAATGACTCTACGGGATGGGTGCTCCAGCAGAGGCAGTTCTGGGAGAGGCGGACCTAGCCAGGACCTCTGTAGGGAAGGACTTCCAGAGAGCACCCTGCAGGGAGGGGGATCCAGGGAGCACTCTGCAGGGAGGAGGATCCAGGAAGCAGCATATTTACAGAGAGGGGCTTCCAGGGAGCACCATGCAGGGATGGTCTTTTAGGGAGCATCCTGTAGGGAGGAGCTTCCAGGCAGAGGAAGCAGCATGTGGGAATGTCTGGTCCTTGGGGACAGTGAGACAGAAAGGGACACCAGGAGTGATGGGCAGTGAGGCTGGGCTGTGGGGAAGGCTGCAGGAGGTGGGGAGGATGTGGAGCCATCCCAAAGGCAGTGGGGCCACTGAGAGCTTCCATCTAGGAACAGCACCATGAGGACCCAGAGGCGGGAGTCCCATTAGGGGCTGACATGGGAAGTGAGAGTGAGCTCAGGGTGGCAGGCACAGCCTGGGCAACCATCCCTGCCCTTGTGGGGTGGGATCCTGGGGCAGTGCCAGCAGGCGGGCACTTCCTAGAAGTCCATCCCCCCTCCAGCACAACTCCTTGGTTCCAGGTGACAACCACAACATCAACAGTGTCATCTACAAGTGGAACCCAGTAACTCGCCTCTTTGAGGCCAACCAGACCATTGCCACCTCGGGTGCCTATGACTGGGAGTTCTTCACAGTGGGGCCCTATTCGTTCCTGGCGGTGGCCAACACCTTCAACGGCACTTCCACAAAGGTGCCCTCCCACCTGTACATCTGGCTCGTGGGCTCCTTCCAGCTCTTCCAGTCTTTCCCGGTAAGGACCCAGACACAGCCCTATGCACTCTGTCACTCACAACCATAGCATGTCTGCCACATGTGCCCACTGGAGACAGACAATGTGGGATGGGAGAGGACCGATGAGAGCCAGGACTGGCATGGGTCTGAGACCTCTAACCCGAGATCCAGGGCCTGCCCTTCTGTATGGCACAGGCCCCGCTCCTCCCCCAGGCTGCCTGACCTTGTTGCCAACGGCCTGGGTGCTCCCAGTGTAGACTGATTGCCTGGAAATGAGGTAGGAGGGGGTGTTCCAGCTCTGCCCTCCACCTTGCATGGTCTTTTCTAGTCTTGAGCAGCACTAGTGCTCAGAGCAGGCCTCCTCGTCTCCTCTGCGAACTCCTTGTGGGCACCCAGCCCTAACCCTGGAGCAGTTGGGCATCTTGGTTGTGACCTGGGGCACTGGGAGGCTGGGTCAGGGTAGCTCATGAGGTTCCCTTTAGACCTAGAGTATCCCTGGGTTGGTTTCAGGTACCATGGGCTGGCAAGACCTTTGAGTTGAGGCAGTGACAAGTATTTCTGCCTCTGTTGGGGTGGGACAGTGTGCTGCCTGGTCCCAAACAGATGTGATACAGACTGTGAAGGGGACGCAGCCATACTGGGTGGGGGCGTGGGTGGGAGCACCTCTGCCCATCTCAGACTCGGCCAGTCAATGCTGGCAAGCCTCTGTGTGAGCCTAGGGTCCTGGAGGGGACAGATTAAGGGATTCTGCCTGGTGGCATCGTGAGCATCCCCTCTCTGTTTGCTGGAGGCATGTGTCCTCTCATAATGAAGAAGAGTTTTCTGTACTGCTGGCAAGAGACCCCATCCTACCTCCTGTCTTTCCAGAACCTCCTGTGCTTACTGACCATATTTTCCAGACTGACCAAATGTCCTCAGGACCCTCTGTGCCCCAAGTGGGGCTCACCCAGGCCTTGTGCAGTGCAGGGCCCCACAGATGCTGATGCCCTGGCTCACTCCTGTCAGGGTCTCTGGGAAAATGGGAACCGCAGTCAGGGCTTTGTCAAGTTGCCCCTGCATTTAGACAAGAGTCCGTATAGAGGGGTGGGTGGGGCTTTATGTCTGGAATGATTGAAGGCATTCTAGAACATTCCACATAAATTTCAATACAGAAGGAAGAGGAAGCTCAGATTTGCAGGCTCCTAGAGTGCCCCCACCAGGCAGGAATAAGAGCTGTTTAGGGAACGGGGCCAAGAGCCGCAGTTCAGAGACCGACCACTTGGGTTAATACCATCCTTTCTTTCATGCATTTGGAGAACTGCATTGGGCAATCCACACATGCATGGGCCCCTGGGTGACTGCGCACAGCATCACCAAGGTGACTACCACCCCACCCTTAGGACACTAGGGAGGGGGGCAGCATTAGATGAACATTCAGGGCATAAGAAGAGCAAATATCAGGGAGTGCCTGGGGAAGTGGGGGCAGGGCAAGTGGGGAGGAGACCTGGGGCACAGCAGGGCTAGGAGAGGGCAGCAGGACTACTGCCCAGAGCCACAGGGGTGTAAGTGAAACGTGGTGCCCACCAGTACAGGCTGACATGGCTGCACTGCAGTGACAACTTGGTGGGCAGGAGGGAGAAAACCAACAGGAGCTGTTAGGGTTGCCCAGGTGAGCAGCAGGTGCCCAGGTGAGGTGGCAGCAGTGCCAGAAGGAACAGGCCATGAGCTCTGAGCACTGCTGATGAACAAGTGAGCATACCAGTGAGCCAGGAAGAGGTGGGATGACCTGAACTTCCTGGCGCAGGGAGGTCAGTATGCAGGATGCTGCAGGGAGTGGGATTCCTCCCAGTCATTTGCATCTGTAACAGCCACAGGAGGTGAGTAGTGGCATCTGCTCCCACTTGCTCAGCAGTGCCTCATCAAGTGCCCCGTTAAGAATTTTCCCAGGTGCAGTTGCTAGTCCCCATTATACACAAGGACACTGAGGCACAGAGAGGTTTCAGAGTTTGCTGTAGCAGAGCTGGGATTCAAGCCCAGGCAGTGTGGCCCAACATTTGGTTTGACTAGAGAGGGGACAGAATCAAACATGTGTTCCTTCTGGCTTACTTATCCTTGCATAATCCTCCTGCTGTAATGCCTAATGGATGCTGAGACTGGGAAACAGCACAGGCATCCTGGGCTGGGAGCAGCGCAGTAGTATGCAGATAGCTGGTTTGAAAGAGGGTACTGGAGCGTTCAGTCATGGGTGAGCCTGGCCACAAGGCTCAGCAGGACTGCCCATCTGATGAGGAATCCCTGACCAGGAAGGAGTAAGACTGGAGGCTTGTGAGGTTGGAGATGCAAAAGCCTCTGCAGGTGGAGGTACAGGGGGCCAGGGACATGCAGATGGGTGGAGTCAGGACTCCCAAGGAGGTCTTGACAAGCAGGGACGGTGGCTAATGGTGCATTGATGACATGTCATAGCTGGAAAAGGGCTGCATGGAGGCCTGGTCATGGATGCAGAGCATGGGCGGTCAGGCCGACAGCATTTCCTGTGGAAATACCCAGGATTCTACATTACCTGTGTGTGGCATCAGGGTCACACGGGTGCTTTAAAAGGAATGTGTGCCCTTCTGGCTCGATGCTCACACCTCAGAGTCCTGGCATACTGGAGCATGCTCAAGGAGAATCAGGAAGGGACTGGAAATGTATTACCCAAGGAAACAATAAATAGACTTGAGGCTTTATTCTGAATGAAGACATTGGTGATTATCTCCAGGAATCTAGCAGATGAGCTCAGGAAATGGAAAGCAGACTTTCAAGGCATCTTGAGAGCAGCATTGTGCACCCCTGGAAAGAAAAGTGCAGCAAGTGACTTTCTGGTCCACCAAGCAAGGCCTTCCAGCAGGGCTGTCAAGCTGTGAAGAAGCTGCTGTCCTGGGGCCCCCGCCCCTGAAATCACAACACGAGGTGAGAAGACAAAGGGTTTCTGCAGTGGGTTGGGAGTGCATTTGGAGATTATCATCATATATCTACTAACACTGTGACCCTAAATCTCCTACAATACCACCAAAGTCTAACTTAGAGATGTCTTCTTCATGTCACTTCATCAAGGCTCACAGCAGCCCATAGTGCCCCCTGCCAACTGCAAATGCCACCCACTTCCACCCTCAACATGAACTATAAACAGACCCCTAAGGGGCTCCAGATGTTTGACAAAAAGCCTGAAACCTGGAGGACTCAGGCTCAAACAAATATTCTCACACTCAGAGAAACTGAGCTGGTTCTAGAAACAGAAAGGAATTTTTAAAAAGTATAATTATCTTTAGAAGTACTCAAGAAGAAGTGCTGCATTTATAAAACATATACAGTTACTAAGAAGAAAGAGATCTTGGATATTTTTAATATCCAAGAATTGCTGGCATTAAAATAATACATTCATTAACATGATTGGAAAAAAGAAAAAAGAAAAGAGAGAATCAACCCAGGAGATCCTGCATCTGGCTGACCAGAGTTCTGGAGAGAGAGAAGAGGGGAAAGAAAGCTAAGCCCAAGGAAAGTGAGATTCACTACACTCATTGTGAAGAAGTCTACAGACACCAGGGACAAAGAGAAGATCCCAAGACCTTGCAGAGAGGGTAAGAGGTGAGTTATCTGCAAAGGCACAGGGACCGCAGTAGCCTGGGACACTGGAAGACAAGGGAGGGCATGCTCAAGTGATGCATACAGAGCACCCAGGAGACAAGGTGAACAACTCCCATGTGTCAGGGGCTTCCCACTGTATTGGGCTTCTTCTCCCACAAGGGAGTCAGCATTCCCTGTCTTGTGTCTGTACCCAGGAGCACAGAGTGGGCTGAGGCAGGAGGGGGCTGAGCTGTGCTCACCTGTGCTCACAGCCTATTAGCCAGTGCTGGTCATGTGACCCAGCCTAGGTGGACTTGTGCTCACAGTCCATTGACCAGTGTGATGACCCAGCCTCACTGGACTTGTGCTCACAGTTGATTGGCTAGTACCAACCGTGTGACCCAGTCTAGCTAAACCTGTGCTCACAGTTCATTGGCTAGCACCAATCACATGACCTGGTCTAGCTGAACCTGAGCTCATAGCCTATTGGCTAATGTCAGTCACATGACCCAGCTTAGCTGGACCTGTGCTCACAATCCTTTAGTCAGTGCCAATCACAGACCTAATCTAGCTGTGTAAGACACTGTGAAATGTAGGGGAGCCTTGGAAGAGCCAGTATTTCTGGGGTGCACTAGCCAACCCGAGAGTCAACTGATGCAGAAGAACAGAACTAGAAGTGGCAGCTCCAACCAAAGATGACTGTAAGGAAAGTTCCAGAATGAGTACTGTCTCTGTTCTCGAAAGCAACCAGCCTAGCCAGTCTAGGGGCAGAGAGGCCAGGACAGGTTTTGGGAACAGGGATACCCAAGGAGCACACAGCATGTTGGGATGGCAAATGGAAGGTGTGAGGGTGTATGGGCCACAGTGAGGAAGAAGGCAGATGGGACCATGGGGCAGGCCAGGTGGCTCCTGGGCAGCGGCCATAATGTGGGACTGAAGGAGTGCCCCAAGGAGAGTGGCAAGCAGGTGCCCAGGACTGGGAAAGACATAGGAACTGGGGGGCTTTCTTACATGCAGAGCTGGTGTATTTTCTTTTTCTGCAAAGGAGGGAAGGAGAGTGGGCAGCATATAGGAAGGGACAACTAGCAGCCTGTGGAAAAGCAGCTGTACCTAGAGTGCAAAAGCCAAGTACCAAGCAGGTGAATAGGGACTTTGATTTTAAGCTCAAAAGGAGAGTCTGTCTGACCGACTGGCAGGAAGGAATGTCCCAGGGAGGGCTCTGGGGTCATCTTGGACATTTAAGCCACCGAGGAGGGTAGTGTCATAGCCTGGCCCCTGGCTCTGCAAGAATAACTTGTTACCATAAGGTCAGGACCATGTGAAACAAGTCGTGTTGTCTTGCTTGTAGAATGGCCTGTGGCTGAAGCCTGGGGATTTTTTTAGGGCCCAATACTGAGCAGTGTGCTGGCATTTATTAGCAGAGGTACAACCAGGGCC